CCCCCCTTTTCCCTCCAATGCTTGGTATGGACCTTGGTTAAGCTTAATCAAGACACCAGTATAAGTAAAGGCCAGAATGTGTGGGACATTCTCTAAACATGCAGGGTGAGGACTCTGAAGAGTCAGAGGATGGGAGCAAAGTTTCGACACCGTGCTCAGTTTTAAGCCATCTGCTCTTACACACCCAATCTCATAATGTCTCACCTTCCAGTTCTAAAATAAACACTCTTAATGACAGTCATCACAGACACAGACACACGGGACATGTTTTTCAGGCTTAGACTTAGTACAGTTTGCAGCAAATTGTGCCAAAAACATTTATGTGATTCATTTAAATATTATCCTCCCAAGATTTTGCACTCTGTAAATGAAAAAAGACTCCAAAAAGCATAAAAGATCTAAATATCAGTTTGACAGTCATGAAAATGCAGTTTGGTTTATTGGCTCTCATCCATGAAATGCGTTTTACTTTTTAACCAGATTCGTTGATTGCAAATACGTAATTTTTTCACAGAGTATCCCTCTGGGAGTGCTCTGAGCAATCTAAGACCACTGGCTTGTACTGACAGCACCACTCCCTCTAGACCTGTCCCAACATCAGCAGTGCATGCTGTTGAATGCCCGGTAACTCAACAATAAAGCACCACTTATCTGAAATACAATTATTGACAGAAACAGTGGACTAGTGTGTTTGCAGCCATTTCCCTGTTGCCGGATTTAAATATGGTGAATTTGCTTCTTGTGAAGGATTTATTCTCATGACTCATCCAGTGACTTCACTCCCCCACCAATCAGTGGCATGCAGTCTTTTGATGTCACATTTCTGGCTCAACTCAACTGACTTGGAAGTCCTAAAAAAGCACCTGGTACCAAGTACTACTATCTAATGGAAAACCCTAAAAACTGAGTGGTCTAGTTGAGCTGAGTAGTCCAACTTTATAACAGCATATCCAGCAGCCTCAACTCCCTTGACCCGCTCAAAACGGTCTCTTTTACCTGCTGTGGCCTATGGTTCACTATGGACGTCCGTGCCCTAAAGACCACCTCCTGCTGATTTTAGAGGATCTATAGCCTTATAGACATCATGTGAGGTCCTGTAAAGAAACTCTCTCTCTCTCAGGCCAAGACTTATTATTACTCTTCCCTCATTTGTCATCAGCAAAGCCATTCCAGACTGCTGGACTGGCTACTTCACCCCCTTGATCCACCTCATCCTTCAGGTGCCCCTGACCTCTGCTACTAGGCAAGGCAAG